GCCTTTGTAGGATGAAATCCTGTCGGAGCCTTCACAGCTAGCTCTGATCGTGATTGTATACAAAAAAAAAAAAAAATAGAGGAGGCGAAAGATGGAGTTTCGGGTCTCAGTAAGCAGCGATATTTCGTCGCTAGCGAGCTTAACTCGTGATTGTCGCAGCCTGGACATCGTGATGTCATCATCACCATGGTCTCAACATTGCTTTCTCAGCTAGCTCTTACTGCAATTTTCTCGAGGTACGTCACAATCTTTTTCTTCCAAGCATAAGAGCTGTGATCCAGTACAAGGTTTCTTAGATTGTCGAGTTGCAAAGGAGACCCCCATAGATCTATTATTCTAATAACAATTTGATACGGTCCGAACGCTTTTTCACAAAAATTAGAGCAAACATAAATTTTAGTTCCTGAACACCAAATCATAGCAATACAACGCTAATAACTCGGATGAATTTAAAAGATAAGCACCTAAAATTTGAGAGGTAGGCAATCTCTCCCTATTCATACAATTCGAGAGGAAGGCCTAAGACTCGCAACAATAATCTCATGCATAAATATAACCCTAAAAATATTAAGCTCATTTATACTAAACAAATAATAATAAAAGACTAAATTACCCTTAGGCATACAAAAGACCAAATTGCCCTTAGGCTAGGCACCAGTATAACACATTGCCCTTAGGCTAGGCACCAGTATAACACCATAATCATAATATGATTATGGAACACCATGATGTATGAAATTAGAGGGATATATATTCCTTACATCCACAAAAGAATTTTAAATGCTATCAAACAAACTTACTCAAAAGTAAAAAATGTTACTATATCTGTAAAATAAAAAACAATCATTAAATATTTTAGTATAATGTAGAATTATTGTCATGAATTAGATCATAATCAAGATCTTAACATATGATTCTTAAATGATTAGAAGACAAAAAAATGCCTAGTTTCTTGCAAGACTGGATATGACTTTGAAAAGGTCATTCTTAGATTTCAAGTAAGAGAGCGTACCATCTCCAAATAAGGTATTTTCGCTCAAATGTACTAGAGAAGATAAAATGATAATAATGTTAGATAACATTATCTTTAAAATACTAGCAATGATAACTGCCACATCTCAAAAAAAAGAAAAAAAAAAGATAATAATGTTAGATAACATTATCTTTAAAATACTAGCAATGATAACTGCCACATCTCAAAAAAAAGAAAAAAAAAAGGTTAGCAATCACTATTTATTCCACAAAAGAAGACAAAATTTCTCCTAATAGCAATCTATAAGGTAATTACTGAAAAAAAAAAAAAAAAAAAGGGTTAGCAATCACTATTTATTCCACAAAAGAAGACAGAATTTCTCCTAATAGCAATCTATAATGCAATTACTGTAACCAATCTTTCTCAATTCTACAAATCAAGTACCAATAATAGAAAAGATAAAGTAACTCATGGTCTCTAATAACAAGATAATTCAAAGGATATTCATATTTCTCCTATATTTACCCATAAAAATATTCTAGACGTCCATCTCCTTGCAACAAATCTTCCCAAAATCCATCAAATCACTACGCAATATAACTGCAAGATATTTTCAAGACCACACTATGAGGAAGGCGATTAGACAAGCTAGTTAAAAGGATGGGCTATATCTTCTTGAAGGTAAACGCACTTCTCATGTTCCTTCATTTCCACTATCAATACATAAATTATTTGGGAACACCATTATAGGCTAGGATATCTCGCTTTGAAAATCCTACAATGTATGTTGTCTTCTCTTTATTTATTAACATTGAAAAATTTTATTATGAGAATTGTGAAATTATAAAACATCATCTTATTTTTTCCTAAAAGTAATTCTAGGTCCTCTATTCCTTTTATGTTAATTAACTCCAATATTTAGGGAATTTTAAAAATCTCTAAAATTTTTAGAGCAACAGAATTTGTCACATTCATTCTTGATTGCACTAAAATTACATGTGTATATCCTCTCAAATTAAAATCTGATGCTCATTATTAATTTAATCAATTTTTTTTTTTTTTTTTACAATAAAAGATGCAACATTCATTAATCTTCTTGTCCGAACACCCTTCAACAACATGGGTGAAAAAAGATTTATAGCATTTAAAATTCACTTCCAAAAAGATGTTGAGAAGAAGCAACTCTAACTACCATATACCCAATCAACAGAATACCCTTCAAGATCATCCATATTAAAAATCTCCCAAACTACGAGATAAAAACATTTTTCCTACAAGCAATTTCTTTTCAAAATCCCCTTAGAAACATTTGGATCATTGCTGATATCCATATCCTCAAATGTCTGTTTGTAGAATATTCTTCCAATAAAATTAGATACAAGTGTTATCATTTAACTACACAAATTCTTTTCACTTTAGAAGATGCACCTTTGATGAAAAGCAAAATTTTTACAGAGAAATTAATCTTCAAGTGAATAACTAAGTAGAAAATACGTTTAATGAAACCGCCTACTTCCATCTTGACATCTCAAGATAATAATGATTAACCAATGAACACACATTCACCATTGTATCGCATTTTTCCAGTACATGTTTTTTCAAAAAAAGTTTATACATAAACCCTTCCTTATAAACATCAGCTTCAACCCCATTAAAATATTTTTAACTCCATTCAAGGCACTTCAAAATAAGAATATGAAGGAATCCATTAGTAGAGATAAATGCTTTGAAAAAAAAATCCATACGTTAGACAACATGAAGCCAAAAAAAGAGGAAAAAACGTTTGATGCAAAGCAATTTTTTTCATTAAAATATACGTAGAGATAAATGCTTTGAAAAAAAAATCCATACGTGAGACAACATGAAGCTAAAAAAAGAGGAAAAAACGTTCGATGCAAAGCAATTTTTTTCATTAAAATATACAGCAGTTAGAAGCCGAGAAGTGGTATAAAGTACAATTTTCAAAAGATACACTCAATCATACGATTTGACTACCAAGAAATGTTTTCTCCTAATGCAAAAATAAATATAATTTGTATCTTATTTTTTGCTGCTAATTTTGGATGGCATATGCAATAGTATGATATGAAAAATGATTTTTATATGGGAATGTTGAAAAAGAAATTTATATGAATCCTCAACTAGGATTTGATAGCTCTTCATAAAAATAATAAGATGTGCATGTTAACAAAAGACATTTTATGGTTTAGAAAATTCATCAAGAATAAAATTTGACATATTTACGAAATTCATGTATGTAAATGGGTTGCAATAAAATTAAGACGACCACACCCTCTTCACAAAACACTCCATTGATGAAAAAATTGTAATTAACATTGTAAATGTTGATTATATAATTATTACAAGAGATTAAATTGAAGAAAATAAATCACTCGGAAAAAACTAGTTGAAGGCTGGGCAAACACATATTTTTAGGCATAGATGTTCAATTAAAATAAAGATCTTTATCCCTCAACAAAAATCTAGTATGAATCTTTTGAGAGTACACGTTGTAATTGATGGGCATATAGCTTTATATTCAACACCTAAAGAAAACAAATGAAGAAACAAGTTTCATTGTAGTTGTATTTGTTTTTTTGCCATTAGAAATACATAAACATTGCTTTTATTTGTTTTTTTGCCATTAGAAATACATAAACATTGTTTTCTTTTTCTTTTTTTTTGATAAATTACTGTCTTTAAAGTTTTTTTTTGATAAATTACTGTCTTTAAAGACTTATTTTGGGTGGCTGCAACTTTTAAAAATGTGGTTGTAAAGCTGTGGTGGAGAAAACCTTTCCGAAAGCTTCAGTGGAACTTATAAATATTATTTTTTTTCCCAAAAAACTCAAACAACAGTTTTCTTATAGCTACCGTACTTTAACAGATCGTTTAAAAAAAGCAGTTTCCCAACACAAAATTTTCTAGAAAGTAACACAGTTTTCTTATAGCTACCGTACTTTAACAGATCGGCTAAAAAAAGCAGTTTCCCAACAAAAATTTTCTAGAAAGTAACAAGTAAGCAATGGCGGCCTGACAAATAAAATAGGCAAAAATTTCTCCCAAACTGACCCTAAGCCCATTAAAATAATTCAATACTAGAAAATTACTTACTAGCTCATCTCTTTTCAATTGAGTCTCGAAAGTCCATATAGTTGCGAACATTGAAATCTACTAGAAATTTTGCAATTAAAAATGAAATTTTGAAAATTTACCCCCATTTTTCGTATTTATCTGTTCACCAAGAAGAGTTACTAGTGCTACTAAAGAGGACAATATACCCCATTATCTATCTTTATTTTCTCATTAATGCATTATAGATTAATACTACCTGGTTCTTTATTGTTTGAATCATTAATCAATGTGAGTTTGATCAGATCTTTATTATTTTTTTCTTATTAATTGATCTCAAAATTTAATATCACATAGAAACTTCTTGTTTATTATAATAAAGAGAATGGGAACTTTCAAATCTATTTTCTTATGTTTGAATTATAATTGCAAAATTTTATTTAAGTGATAAAGATGGATATGAATGTAAGTTCCATCAAACTTTTGGTTGTTTATGAATTTATTTATTTGCATTTGAATTATCAAACGCAGTAAAATATATACTTTATTTTATTAAAATTTTAATATTTACAAATGAAATAAGTAAATTTGTGTACCATGATTTGTGGGTTTCTTAAAATGATTGATTGACTTTAACAATATATGAGATGAGTTAGAAATTAAAAATAAATTATGATGCTGCTGAATTCTATGATTTTATAATCAAAGCAATATTTCGTTTAATTATATCAATAAGTTTGGCATCCAACTTACGGTATAAAATTCATGTCTGAACTTTTTCCTGATAATCATTATTATCAAATAGTAAAATATCTACCATATTTTTTAAGAGAAAAATTATAACCATAATAAGTTTGCTCTCTGTTGAGATTTAAATATTTTTTATAAAAGTTATTAGCCATTCCAAAATTGAACACATATAAAGTTAAATTCAAATAAATTTCACACCAGCCCATAAAAGTTGTCGTTTAATTTTAAAGTTGAGAACATTCAAAAAACATCCAACATATCAACCAAAAACAAAAACTGAGTAGGTATAGAACTCTGAAACCTTGTGTCCTGAGGGAGGGAGCCAGAGTGAGATCATGTCTTCATTGCCGGTCTCACAAGACCCAAGCCTGAACCACTTCCCAAATGCTTGAAATCAGTGGCCTCCAAATGATCCCCATGTGCTGAAAAACCAGTTCCACCTTTCTCCAACAACACCAAGTTCTTCTCCCTGTATTCCTTGTCGCACACAAGGCAAAACTTATTCTTGGAGATGAACCTATCAGCACACTTCTTGCAGAATACATGACCACAAGTGTTAATAGCCACAAGAGAGAGTGCATTTGTAAGTGTAACCTTGCAACTGGGGCAGATGTAACTGCTATCCACAGACTTAGACTTCTTATTCTCACTGTTATTGTCTTCAGTGAAGCAGATGGAGAAAAGAGTTTTCAACTTGAGTTTCTCTTTGCCCTCTGGGCATATTGTGTCAGCAGATGGAGCATCGACTTTGACCGGAGCTCCAGGAGTTGCAGAAGGCAGCCAGAAGGCCTTCATCGTGCGAAGAGCTTCTTCTTCGTAGGATGTTACCTTCACGCTGTTGGCACCATGGAAGCAGTTCTTATCATGGGAGTGGCTCTTGTCATTGTATTGGGGAACGGCTCCATGATTTTGCTGATCAAATGCATCAATTTCACGAGCCTTCTGTAATGACAACCTTTCCAATTCCTCATCTTTTTCTTGCTTCTGCTGAGCAGCATGGGCAGCTAGTTTTCTATATGCAACAAAATCCAATAAAACATCTTCTAAGCAAAAGAGGGAGCTTAAATTTTGAACAGTAAAAGTTAACATTAAGGAGGTGCACGCAAAAGCAAAAGCAAAAGAAAAGAAAAATTCGATAATAAAATCTTATTTGGCAGATACAATTAACCTATGTAAGCAGTTGTACAATATGGGTGTTAACTTCAACTAAATTGGCATTAAAATGCTTAGGCTACAATCATTGTGATTATAAAATCATAACGCTACTAACCATAAAAAACACTACAATAGAGGGATGTAGTGCCATTAAATCATAATATACGCCCTACATTTGAGCATTGGATCTTCTATTTTAGTGAAATAAGGAAAAAAGTTCAATGTGTTCTACTTCAAGAATAAATCAGGTAATGTACAGCTCAAGTTTCTTTTTCTCTTGAAATTTTCTATAAGAAAATTGAAATATGTATCGTTTCTTTTCCATCATATCCAGTTCCCAACTGACTTTCCTCAGTTCCCGATCAATTTTTGAACATATGCATAATAACCATAAATACCTCACAAGACCTGCAATTTACAGCAGATCGCCCAAGAACCGAAAATCGAAATTGATAATTTCAGCCAGTTTCATCACCAACTAACGAAAAATTTCAATAATTAACGATCGGACAAAATCGGGTTCAACAAATTGAAGAACGAGAGGAAGGTACCTCTTGATGTCTTTCTTTTGGGCAAGGAGATACTCGAGGATGCACTCTTTGCAGAAAACGTGGCCTTTGTGGCAACATAGCGGGTCGATGAAGGGCTTCAGGCAGAGACAGCAGGCGTCGAAGGGCTTGATGGAGTCCTTCCCCAATCGCTCCTTCTGCGTTCCGTAACCTAGTTTCCGTTTCTCGTCGTATGTGAAGAAGGCGAGATCATTGTTGTTCTTCGAGTGGCGCTGCGGCATCGTCGAGTTCTCGCCGTCAAATTCCCAACCCTACTCCGACCTACCGGAAAGCAAAATTAGAGGTCTTATCTATCTTCGAAGTCCGGCGGAGTTGCAGAGCTAATCTGATGAAAACCGGAATTTCGGCTGTTGACTTACTATTTGCATTGTAATTTAATTTTGTGATGTTAAAAAAGACTATTTTTTTATAGCTTGTTTGTGATTAGTTTTTTTAAAAAAAAAAAAGATATTTATTTAGCATGTTTTTTTTGAAATTTTTTTATTTCTTAAATCAAACTAATATATTTTTTAAAACACTTAAAATAATATTTAGATATTTTTAGTATTTTAAAAAATATTCATATCTTAATCAAACATATCAAATATATTTTGTTTCAAATAAAAATATAAATAAAACAAAAGAAAAAAAAAAGTGAATCCATTTAGCCTCTTAGTGTTTGCTTAAGTGGAAGGTGTATTTATGAGTTGATGGATAAGATTAATATTTTAAAAGTTGCTAGTATTATATTTTTTTAAGATAATGAATGACTATCATGTTATAGTAAACTTAGCTATAAATATTATTTTTATCCTATTATTTAAAAAATAATAAAAATTGTAGACCAAAAATACACCTTGGTAAGAAAAAAATTAACTAAGTTTACAACCTTTTGGCTCAAAATTTATTTCAAAATTTTTTTGATTCATTAACTCAAATTTGTCATATATTATATCATTTAATATGATATTATTGAAAAGTAATTATTTGATCATTTGATTGGAATTTTGTACCTTAGATTTAATCACTCACTTTAATTTTATATATTTTTTTTTTGATTCAACTTGAACTCAATTTTGAAACTTGAACTCAATTTTGAGATGGCTTGAAATTAAGTCATTTTATGTTGAGTTTGTTCAACTTTAATGAAATTGACCTTGAGTCTAATTTAACTTGATGTTTCAAACATAGGATGAGCAAAATTCAATCAAATTCAACTCTTGTCAACCTTAATTCTAGTTCAATTCTTTTTTTTTTTTCCGTTTGAAGAATGCCCATTGATCTTGTAAAGCTAGATGTCAATCTTATTTGATTTAACTCAGCAAGGTATTGAGGTTTTCATGGAAGATTTCTTATTTTTTGGAGTTTCATTTGAGAGTTGTCTCTAGCACTTGGTCTTAATTCTTCAGAGATGTGAGAAGATCAGTGTAGTTTTAAACTGAGAAAAGTATTAATCTATGATTACTGAAGGGATAGTTCTAGGGTTTTTTTTTTCCTTTTAATTTTGGAGTTACCATCATGTCTAATCATCATCTTAAATTTTCCTTTCCAAAGAACCCACTTACTTGAATTGTTGGAATGATATAGAGAAGAGGAGGGATCATAAAGGAGGTAAATAAGACAGAGAGTAGGCAGACAAATTAGAAGGAAGAACCTGTAGAGCTTATGTGAGGTAAACCTCGTGCAAAAAGTTAAGAGTATACCTCCAAACAAGATCAGATTGAGACACCTTGAACTGAATATCCATGAAAAAATATCTACATAAGCTACTGATAACTAAAGAACCAAATGTGTATATTTGTTCTAGGTCCAAGAGCACTCCCAAAGAAATGTATCCCATTTTGGTTAATTACATCTTGGAAAATGTTCAAGAATAGTCTTGATTAAAGGAATCCTACTTACATTTAAGCGACGACTAGTAAAGGGGTGTAGCAAAGGATTGTTATCTTACAGGAGCATCTCAATGCTTTCAAAGTTCACGCCAATTCATATGGGCAAAGAGTGAGTCCCTCACGATCCCATATAGATGACAGCTCATCGACAGTTGAGGCTTATGAAATAACCAGGTCACTTCATAAGGTCCACACTATGCTTTCAGGTTTAATCGTGCCATAAGAAAAGAGAGCAAATCATCATATCCCAAATGGGAAGTGGCTTGTCCGCCGCCAGGGTGTATGAGGCGACATCAATGAAGTGTCAAGGGAACGACAGGGCTCAAAGTGAGTAAGCAAAGGAAAGTAAAGTAATCATAATCGCATAGAGATAGCTGAATCAGGATATCATGGATCTGTCATCCTAAGCTATTTAGACCCTAAGTCTACCTGGTCGTGAAGGTAGTCGACCCAACCAGACCAGAGACCTCTTGTCAGCAATCTAAGAATTGTATCGCCCAACAAAATTTTGGCAGTCCTAAGGTCAAGAGAAAGAAACTTTAAATCCCATGACCTTATATAGGTAGAAAGTAGAAGTGGGACTTATACTTGTTAAAGTGGCTAGAAGACCACTGGAGTGCAAAAAAAAGAGAAGTGCGACTACAAAGCTGAGACGCTCCCACAAAGGACTTATTCCTTGGTTGGGTCAGGTAAGCCTCTAATACCTTAAATGTACCAGAAAACCATCTATATAGAAATCTAAACTAAGTCGGTCAGGTTGAAGAAGCAAGGGGGCTTCTTCTCGGGACATGCAAGTATGATGTTATCTGCTGATCCCGACTTTTTATATAGATGTAAAATGTGATATATGTGATTATATACTTTAACTTGCTTAATAATTATTCCTAATTTGCAATAAAGTCAAAAACTTGATCCAAAGCAAAAACTAGGTAAGTTTTCCACTATGAAACAAATAAGAATACAAATTTAATTTTAAATATGGGATACTACGTAAGTATACATATTATTATCAAGTAATATATGACTTTTTTATTAAGCCCTGAATATCAAACCCACAGGGATAATGACTATATGTTTTTTTAGGAATTTAGAAAATTTAGATGACAAAAATCTGCTTAGTAAAATATTCTTACTTAAACTTAAGATGCTAAAATAGAAATGTAAATTCGATCATTTTTGTAATTTTTTTAGTTTATGAAAATAAAGTAAGCAACTAATTAACTTAACTAAATACTTGCAAGATGAAGGCATTATAAATAAAATATCTTCCTTCTTATCATGAATCAGTAATAAGTAGAGATATTCTGTTGTGGAAGTATTCTAAATGTGTTGTGTCAAATAGGAGCAATAATATTCTTTACCCTTACTAACATTGGCTAATTTATAGTTTGAATGGTCTTGAAGACCGTCTAGGAAGAGAAGATACTAGCTCTCACTCTAGAGTTCCCTCTTCTCCCTCCCCCTGGAGGCTAACATCTCGTATCAAAACCTAAAACTATAAATCAAATTGGGGGCTTTAGTGTGTCGCTCTAAAGTCCTCTAATTTTACACCCTTGAAAAGTTTATTTCCCTATTTATTAGCATTTAACCCTATAAACTACATCCTCATCCATGATATCAATATGGGATTCTAACCATTTATTGACTGAGACAATACCAACTCGGATCTTACATGTTCTCACAACAGATATTAACATCTTAATTGGTAAAATCAAGAAGTAAATGAAGTACAAGGTTTCAAATCATCACAACTTCTTCCAACATTGAAGTCTAATACTTCAAACAACTTCCTTTCAACACTTATCATTTTAAGGAAAAAATAAAGAAAATTACTCAGAATCCATGGAGAAAACACAACCACACATGAGTTTGAATATAGAAATTATGCACACAAACAAGAAATCTGAATTAAAACCAAGTGTAGTCACAAAGATAAACACTTATCTCAAATCCTCTCCATCAAATGTCTTGAAGTTCCTTTGAATTCTCTTCCTTCACTCAAAATACAAACTAACACTCAAAATAAAAAGAAAAGTGACTGGCGGCGACGGGGATGGGCGGCGACAGCAGTGACTTAAAAGGATGATGGCTGTAAATTTAACGGGTGGCTGGCCTCTAGCGGTTGGCTTTGATGATCCAAGTCTTCTTTAATAAAAATCCAAGAGGTGTTTTGGTGTCTCTTCAAAAAGGTATCTCTATTCAATGAATCTTCTAGAAGTTGCCTCCTCAAAAGCCAATTGAATGAATTTTCATGTTAATGGGCTATTTCCCACATTTTTACCAAGGGTTGCTTCAAACATCTCTTCAAAAATCTATTCAAATTAAATAATTCATCTCATAACTACTTTTGGCATGTAAGCGCAAGAATCTGATGCTTAGGTGTGAAACCTCTGGCGCTTATGCGTCAATTCTGGGCACTTAGGTGCCTTAGTTCATTTTTTCACATTTCTTCATTTTTGCTCCAAATTTGACCATTTGTCACTCATTTTAGCATTTTTCATCAATTTGATTGTACCTAAAAGAAAAACACACAAATATATTTTATTAAAGCACAATATCTCAAAAATAGATATAAAAATATGTATAAAAACTCTATATATTTTAGGTGTATCATCTACATAAGTCCTAATGTGGACGCCATATTAGTATGGCTTGGGTGATATCCATGCTTTGAAAAAAATTTTTAAATTAGACCTGAAAGCCATGTAGGAAATTACAAGTAGGTTTTAAAAATTTTGTAATGTTTTAATCCAAAATTATGATTAGTCTTGATATTTTATTAAGATTTTTGAAAAGATTAATAGTGTTAGGTCCTCAGAGAGCCTAAATTATACTCACATGATTCTCAGATAACCCACAAGTAGAGCAAGATGAACAGATACGCATATAAGAATATTGAAGTTTGGTGATGTTAGGTCAAAAATATATTAAAAAAAAATAGAAAAAGGCCGCTAGGTACCGCATATACAGACCTGGTCCTATTTCTATGCATCAAAGTGAATTAGAATTAAGGCATGGAACACTAGCCTACACCTCTTAGTTCTCATCACATGGTTATGCTCGTCCGACATCTCAAAAACTACACCCGTACCTTATTTCTAATACAGATGTGAGCCTAGAAAACTCTAAATAGCCAAAGAAAGACTCAATCTGAATGAAAATCAGGTTAGAGTAAAGATCTATCTACATTCAACGTAGTGAACCATGACGGTGGGACGAGAGCTAAGCAAGCACTAGCAGAAAATGTGATGATTTAACTTATTAATGCTCCTCTATGTTGAACATCGCTCCCTGCAAGAAGACTGCCCCTATATATATGTATATATATTTATATAGATACACAAAGACACACACAACACACACACACACACACACACACACACACACACACACACA